CAGTGGTGTGGGGTCCGGCCGAAGCCCCACCCCCCCCCGGCTGACCGCCCTGCCCTGCCTCTTGGAAGCAGGCACTGCCATTCAGAGACGTTATTAATACCTGGCCACTTTCTAGCCCCATTCAATGCACTTTATGCACTGACCCTGGCGCTCAGAGCATGAGCATGGCGTTCTGCAGCAATGGCCTGAGGTTACAGCACAGAGCGCTGCCAGCCAGGAGAGAGGGGTGGAAGCAGGGGGGGGGCACCTTTATTGTCCAGCCCTGTGCAGGGGACACATGACCTGTAATGGGGGCATCAGGAGACCTGAGTTCTGTTCCCTGGCCAGCTGCTGTTGGGTGCGAGGCCCCTCCCCTCCGGGCCTCCCTGTGCTGTGAGCTCTTCAGAGGAGGGCCTGGCTCTGACCATGTGCACAGGGCACCGCGGGGCCCTGATCTTAGCTGGGGGCCCTGGACGCTGCCACAAGCGTTACTGAGGCTCTGCTGGGGTGCATGTCAAATGCAGCTTCGTCGGGCAGATACTGGTGGAAGGCAACACAGTTATTTCCATCTCTGGCAGGCTGCGGTTGGCATCCTTGTTCCACCCCCAGGCATTTGAAATGCAGGAAACAGGGGCGTTCTGCTGGCGAATGCCAGCTGGGGGAGACGAGTATCACAACTTGTTACTGACACAAGAGGGAGCCCCTGGATTGGAAGAAATTCTTTCTGCGGGAGCTAGACAGCCCTGTGCTAAAACCTCAGCAGCAAACCCAGCCTAGCTCCTCCCCAGTCAGACCCCAGGCCTCAAGACAAAGCTGTATCCCATATCCCAGACAGACGTTAGCAGAGGGACTAGAAGATCCTGCTCTTGCAAAGAGACCGTCTCTATCTACTAGGATCCTGTTGAAGACAGGGTGGTTCCTGTTTCCATAGCTAATCCTGCAGGGTGCTGGCCCGGGGTCCCATTTTGCAGGGTCCAGACCTCCTGTTGCACTTCTCCTGTCTGATGAAAGGGATTTGCAGTGAGGACACCAGGCTGGCCTGGACAGACTGCAGTCATCTGATACTGGCCAGTAAGACTTGGCCAGTGCTGCAAGTCTCACCCTTGCCCGTTCCCCTCTCCTAAAATGCAGCCCTGGCCTTGCTCATGACCCTGAGGGGGCTATTTGGGATTCAATACCTGCTCCCACTTGCGGAATGCTTTAGCATCCGTGGAATTAAGGAGTGCCTGTTTAGTAACAAAGCCATGGGGAGTACTAGCTTGTAGCCAACCTCAATACCTTGCTTTGTGTGTTATTTTTCCATTCCCACCCTCACCTTTGGGGCTCTCCCTGGGTTTTGGGGAATGCTGATACACAACACACCACGCCAGCCCTTTGAAAGGGGATAGCTGGGAGTTCACAGGCTGGGATGCAGCCAGGCTCATTATTTCACTGTCTCTCCTAAAAAAGACACTGTCCTCATGGCTCCCTCCTCCATCTGGGAAGCCAAAACCAGAGGGAGCTTTGGCTGCATTCTTCCCTGCATACATCCTAGCTTATTTCAAATGGCAGCGGGGAGTCCACCTCCCTAAATGTTCATGAAGCGAATAGTTGGCCTGTCCCCGGAGGAGCGGAACGCAGACCTAGTAGGAAACATGTAAAAAAAGAACAGACAACAATAGCAAAGCGCGTACCTTTCGTGGAGCTGAAAACCAGCTCTGGGTAGCCCAGACACTTGTCTTTCATCCACAGAACTGGACCCAATAAAAGATGTTGTCTCACCCAGCTGGGATCACTAAAAGCAAACAAAACACATGTTTAAAAACACAACTGCTATTTACCTAAACTGAAAAGTTTGAGGGATGTGTCAGTTTGGACAACCTTCCATTTAAAAAGCTCCAAATGAACCATGCCAATAATACAGAAACCTCCAATTTCAACATTTTTGGAACCTAACGTATTGATTGTCCAGTTCCAGCTGAAATGTGTTGTTCCTTCTAGCTTTTATTTTAAGGGCTAAGGACAGTTGACATTGGAATCAAATATTGAACAGTATGCCTGATTATCAAAATACAAGTGTTTTGTTTGACCTCTCCTGAGTTTTGTTTTGCAGGAAATTTCAACTTGTTTTGTTTTTGTTCCATTCTGGAATTATTTTTTGTAAATCACGGACTATCCCGGGGAATAGAAAATCCAGGTTCTGCCAAACTCTGTGTATCTAAAAGGGCTTTGGAGAAATGGTACCTTACTGCAGCCTCCAGAAGGAGGTGGGCCCAGATCCAGGGCTCCATACTTGGATCACGGGACAATGCTCTCTGCTGTGCTCTTCTGGCCGGGGCTAAACAAGCCTTATGCTTCAGGTGTCGAGCTGGAGGTTGGATTGGGGGCACCCAGGAAGGCTCCTGCCCTCTAAGGGGCAGCACTGCAGTGTGCCAAGCATCTTGGAATGTTTTCCATGCTCATCAGCACTGCCAGGTGTTGGTCTGCTCTGGATATAGGTTATCGGGCTAGGTAGAGATTAGAGATGTTAAATCTCGGTTAATTGAATAGTCGGTTAACCACGTGAATTCTTATCAGTTACTTGACTATCCTATAGTGTCGGGTGAGAGCTGGTCTGCAAGGGGAGCCAGTTTAAAAACCAGCTCCCCTTGCGGACCAGCTGCCTGCCACCCCAAGTTGCTGCCTCTGATACAAAGGGTGGCAGCAGGCCCTGTCCAGGAGGGATGGGGGTCTGAGCTCTCAAACCCAGTGCAGGCCAGAACTGAGCCGGGCTGCCTGGCTGCTAATACACTTTACATGCAGAGCTGCAGCAGGGGTAGGTCCCAGACCTGGCGCAAGCTGGGACTGAGCCAGGCTGCTGGCCAGCCTGCTAAAAAATTTACTGGAGGCTGGGGGAGGGAAGGGGGAGTGAATGGGTGTAGTCTATAGCACTAACCGAAAAGCTTTTACATATTGGTTAATGACTATACTATTACATGGTGGGAGAGAGGCGCTCTAGAGCCAAATCCCAGAGCCCACGCCCTTCTGAGCCATAGTCCCACACCCGTCCCTTTTCCCCAGGCCCACAGCAGGGATTTTCCCTATAACTCTGATTGCAGCAGGCCCTGCTCTGCATCTCCTTATGTCCATACAACTCCACGAGCACCTGGGTCATTTTGCAGGCAGGGGCAGGCTGAATTCATAGAATCATAGAATAATAGGACTGGTAGGGACCTCGAGAGGTCATCGAGTCCAGCCCCCCGCCCTCAAGGCAGGACCAAGCTCCATCTACACCATCCCTGACAGATGTCTATCTAACCTGTTCTTAAATATCTCCAGAGAGGGAGATTCCACCACCTCCCTTGGCAATTTATTCCAATATTTGACCACCCTGACAGTTAGTAATTTTTTCCTAATGTCCAATCTAAACCTCCCCTGCTGCACTTTAAGCCCATTACTCCTTGTCCTGTCCTCAGAAACCAAGAGGAACAAATTTTCTTCTTCCTCCTTGTGACACCCTTTTAGATATTTGAAAACCGCTATCATGTCCCCCCTTAATCTTCTTTTTTCCAAACTAAACAAGCCCAGTTCATGAAGCCTGGCTTCATAGGTCATGTTCTCTAAACCTTTAATCATTCTTGTCGCTCTTCTCTGTACCCTTTCCAATTTCTCCACATCTTTCGACCCAACAGTTCTGTGCTAGTCAGCTTCTAGCAGCACTACCAGATCACCCCTTGGCTGGGGGCAGAGTCTGCTCTCTCTCTGCTGCAAGACCTCAGAGCTCCCTGCCTGCCTGTTTAACCCCCTGTGACGGACCGGGCCGTGTCTGGGCACAGCTGAGGACGTCCGCTCAGGGCGAATTGCTCAAATCCGGGGCTCCTTACAGCCCCCAGACTGGTGACCTCTCCAAAGAAGGCCACAAACCAGTCTCACAGAACGCTTCAGCAGCCTGCCTGAAGCCTCCCGAGCAAAACCCCTCCGACACCCCAGCAATATCCATGCCCCAGATGGCCCCGGGCCTCATACACAGGTGGGGGGTCCTAGCACCCAATCCCACCTACCCCGAAAAAGTTCTGTCCGGTTCCAAGAAACCAGCCACAGATCCCTGGTCAATTTACCCTCTGGACCTTACCCACAAATCACGCTGGGCCAATCCTTTAGAATCTAAAACTAAAGGTTTATTATCACAAGAAAGAAAAGCACGAGAGTCAGGTTGTTAAAGAATAGTACGTTACATGCACCGAATCTCCCAGTCCTCGATGCAGGCTCTAGCAGAGATGTTACAGCTGCTGGTTTAAAAGTTTTTGTTGCACATCCTATCATCAGGATGGGTTCACAGGTCTTCCAGGCTCTTCGATCCCTGCAATGCTGCCTCTGGGATGAAGTGCTGAGCTGAGAACAAAATGGCATCGACCACATGGCCTCTTTATACCTCCTCCCTGGCCTCTTCTTGTATGCAGCAGGTCACCTGGTCAGAGGCCAATCTCTGTGTTTCCTGCTGGCTGCTCTCAGGTGACAGCCCCTATTCTTTGGGTGTGTCCTTGGCCCATCAAGTGCCATTGTCCTACAGGGCCTGGCTAATCAGCCTGTCCATAGCCATGCTTAACCACATTCAGAGAAATATTCAGCTTCCACAGATTACAGATTCCTACCTACACACACAGACATTATACACTCACATAAATAGCGTACATAAGATCAGCAAACAATAAGCTCCCATTCAATACCCCACCTGGCTCCCTTTTATACCAATTTCTGGGGCCAACACCCCCTCCTAGGGGTGCAGCAGCGATCTGGCTGCTTCCCTCCAATTCGGTAATGTGACACCCCCCTGCAAGCGCTTCTCCAGACGACACTTTAAGCAGTTCACCGGGGCAGCAGGCACTTGCCCAGAGCTGAGGGCTGGCATTGGGGTGCTTGGTAGCACAAAGGAAGCAAGAGACTTTCCTGGGCCCTCCTCTACCCTGGGAGGAAAAAAGCCTGGGAACTGCAAAGGGTAAACTGCTAGGCAGAGCCGTGTCCCTTCCCACCTCTCCCGCTGACATGCCTCTGAAGCTACCCAACAAGTACAGACCCACTCGCAGGGAGGCAACTTGGCCTAATGGTCAAGCTGCTGTTAATGGGTTGGAGTGGAGGGGGTGCGGAACGGAATCCATTGCATACTCCATGCACATGTGGCAGTTTCCTCACCTCACCTGGGCTTCTCTGGGGCTGGCCAGAGACTCAGTGGGGTCGTTTCCAGCCACGCAGGCTAAAACAAGGATGCTGCTGCTTGTGCTTTGGAAAACCGTGGCAGCTGGCTCTTGTTGTTTCCAAAGGGAATCCAAAGTTTGGGGAGTCCAAATCAGGGTCTCCCTTGTGAGGCCATCACTACGTGCGTCCCTAAAGGCTGAATCCTCCCCGCTGCCCCAAGCCTGAGTTAACGAGTTTTCACTCAGAGATGCCTGGGGAGGGACAGACAACTTCAAGCCGTGGCAGGCTAGTAGTGCCGCTCAGGGACAGCAGCACGTGGTCTGGGCTGCAGTAACTCTAAGGCAGCTCTGTCCCTTCTCTAAGGAGGAGTTGGCTGGTGCTTCCATGTAATCATGATTCCAGCCGCCACTCTGCAAGCTGGTGTGCCTGGACACTCAAAGAGGGGGGACGCACCCCTGCTGGCTTACCACGTCCTGGCCTCCAGGGACTGCACCTGTGGGGTGGCATTTGTGCCAAAGTTAGATTTCAATGCCCAAGGAACCCCCACTGGGCAAGGATCGCTGCCCTCTACCACACCCGCTGATCCCGCACAGGAGATGGGTGGGGAGCAGTATGAACAGAGAAACAATTTCTAATCGGAAGGCTGGGTTAAAAATACCCAGCTTCCATAAACAAAGGCAGGCAGACGGCATGCAGCCAAGCCCCAGCTGTGGGAGCCAGACCTAGGAGCACAGCAGCTTGCCACGCACAGCTGTATTTTAAACTATCTGAATAGTCCAACAGTAAGCTGTGCGAGAGTGGGAGTGGAGTGGGGACCCAAGTTAGCTCTGAGATAGCAGGGATGGGATGCTCAGTTTGACTTGGGGACAGCAGGTGTTTCACAGCTATGGAGAGCCAAAGAGAAAGGGTCTGGAATGATGCTAACGGATGTGGGTATTTTACCAGCTAGCAAGACATTTAGGGCAGTTTTACCCATAAAGTACTTGGAATACAAGGAGTGGCCTTAACTAATTGGGATTTCTCCTCTTTCTTAATGCCTGTGGGGCACTAGGTATTTTAGGTGTAACCTTAGCATTGATTTCTCAGGCTGTTTAACCTCTGGAAATGTATTGTGTTCCTTTAGCTCTTATTTTCCTGACTTCCGTTGGATCCACTCCTTCTGGATCCACTCCTGTCTCTGTTAATGACTTGCAGTGTGATCTCAGGAAAAATGATGTGTACTTGTGTGCCTCACTTTCTCCTAAGTTGGTTGATTCCTTCACTCACAGAAGGGTGCAAGACTGAATTAATTATTGCCTCCCAGCTTCTTGGCTTCACCAACAATCATGGGGGGGGGACAGAAGTCTTGTTCCAACAAGCACCTCATTCCAATGCCCCAAGCCAGACATTGTCACCCAGGTATGTGGCCGTACACTGGATCAGCTCAAGTATTTGGACAGCACCTTCTTGAGAGATAGTTCCTTTGATAAGAGAAATTCCTCCAGATTTAATAAATCCAGCTGTGCCCATGGCTCACTCCAATCAAATGTTCTTAACCAAAACAACATTTGTCTCTCCACCAACTTGAGGGTCTCCCACGCAGTGGTTCTAACACCTCTCCGGTATGGATCTGAGAGGTGCACTCTCTGTACATATCATACCACATAGACTCAGCAATTTTATGTGCGCTCCGTTTGCTCAGTAATCAGCATTCACTGACAGGACAGAGTGACCAATATTAAGGTCCTTGAGAGAGCAAACGCAACCAGCATTGCGGAAATGCTATTGAGAGCACAACTTAGATGGACAAACATGTGATCAGAATGGACTGTCACAGAGTGGGGGGATTTGTGGGGGGTGAAAAGGGGTTGCCTATAGAGAAGGTGGCACTCCGAGGTGTCTGACAGGACCAGCACAGATTTTAGCGGTATCCACAAAATCATCTCCATGCTACATGTGAAAGGCGCTACTGTAATACAGGAGGTATCTGGGGGCACTGCTGAGTGGGTCAAATCAGGGTGAACTGTTTGGAGACAGGGCTGCTTACAGCCCAAGACTGGGGTCCTCCACTATAAGGCACCAAGCCAGTCCTAAAGAGCACTTCTGCTTGCCACACTGACTAGTAAGAAGTTACACAAGACACTCCAACTCTCCAGTGCAACCACCAGTATCGCTCCTAATACAGATGAGGGGTTATGCAAACCCATCTCACCAAATCAGAACAGGTTCTTCTGATCCCAAAGGACCAGCCACATTCCCAGGTCAATTTATAACTCAGACTTTACCCAAAAAGCACGCTGTTCGCCAGTCCTTTAGAATCTAACATCTAAAGGTTTATTAATAAAAAGAACGGAATAAATGCTGAGAGTTGTAATTGTTAAAGGAATCAAATTACATATGTCAATTGCAAAGTTCTTGATGCAGGCTTGTAGCAGGGGTGGAATAATCTGCTATTTAAGAGCAAGTCTCTGGAATACAGCCTCTGTTAGAATGGGTCTTTGGTCCTTTCAAGCTTCAGTTCACAGCAAAGATGCTCTTGAGGTGCTGAGCTGGATTGAAGACACAATGGAGGAACCTCTAGGGCCCTCTTTATACCCTTGCCCACATGCAGGGACTCCTATTGTTCGCCCTGTGTAAAAGTATGTCCCAAGATTAAGTTTGTCACATAAGAAAGTTACCTGTCCGTGTATGACTCAGTCTTTTTTAGGCAGAGAACATGGCCTGCATTCCAGACTAAAGGTTTACCAGCAAGTCCATTCAGTGTAGTCAGGTGCTTCCTGTGCTTTATTGTCTGTTGAATGTTCCTTGACGGACCAATTATCCTGACTAGCCCTTCCCAGACAGGCTGGCTAGCTATTCTGTGGGGCTGCGTCTAGACTGGCATGATTTTGCACAAAAGTGGCCGCTTTTGCGCAAAATCTTGCTGCCTGTCTATACTGGCCGCGAGTATTCACACAAGAACACTGACTTTGTAATGTACAAAATCAGTGGTTCTTGCACAAATACTCTGATGCTCCCGCTCAGGGATAAGCCCTCTTGCGCAAGAGGGCCAGTGTAGACAGCAATGTTAATTTCTTGTGCAAGAAAGCCCAATGGCTAAAATGACCATCGGAGCTTTCTTGCGCAAGAGAGCGTCTACACTGGCACGGATGCTTTTGCGCAAAGGCACATGCCAGTATAGATGCTCTCTTGCGCAAATACTTTTAACGGAAAAACTTTTCCGTTAAAAGTATTTGCACAAAATCATGCCAGTCTAGACGCAGCCTGGGTGTTATGCCAGCATTTGACATCTGAAATGTAGACACACAGTTAATGTTCACATCTTTAAGTACAAAAATGATGCATGCACACATTAGTATAAACAGAATCAGCAAATCATAAGCTCGCTTGGCCCGCTTTGTCCAAGATTTGGTGGAACCATATAATAGTGGTTGCAACAATGATCTGTATGTTTATCTCACAATCCAATAACATCACAGCTGCATCATCAAACATCATAGAAACACACTTCCCATTCCCTTACTGTGGCCAAGTCTGCGTATCAGGGTTCGGATTTCAGAGTTGTAAGGAGTAGCCATAGATGGGCACTGTAACAGTATCATCGCCATCATTGTCAGCGATGGACTACCAAGCAACAGCCATGAGCTCCTTTGAGACGTTCAGATGGAAGGTGCTATAAAAGGTGCAGAGGCCAAAAACTGTCTGGGAATTTCACCAAATGGAAGGCAGGATTTTGCTTTGAAATGGCCTCATAGTGGATGCAGTCCAGCAGTTCTGATACAAGCTTTATTCAGGCAAATCTGCCATTGGCTTCAGTGATGAAGAACCGATTAGGGAAGGGCCATGGGATCTGGCCCAAAGTGGGTAAAAGCTGTGCCCAAATGCAACGAATACCCTTTCTCCTGGCAATGCAGAGCACTGCTCACTGGGCTATTCCTAATACAGTTGAGCGAGATACCATTACTCACTCCCTGATGATTTCACCGTGTCACCAATTAGGCATCCAAGAGCGGATGAGCTGGGAAAGGATCCAGGCATTCCAATACCAGTCTGTTTGCCGGAATTTGCCCCTTGACTGAACAGCATTGTCCACACACCTCTTGTTGTTTTAAGAGGAATTTCCCCAACCTGCCTTCCCCCAGCCTCTCTACAGGTTTCTCTTCTCCCTCCTTCTCTTGTCACCTTTACTCAGATTTTACACAAGCAACAGCCACTGGAGTCAGGATTTAGGCCACATTGTCTAATTCTGCATTTCTTTCCCCAGCAACAAGGCTGTTTCATTCACTTGCTTCACCTTTGTCACCCCACAGACCAACTCTTACCCCTATTCTATGCTAGTCACTTGTTTCAGCATTAAATAATGAACCAGGAGCTCTGTGTGTGAAAATCAATGTTTTACACTGCAGCGCTTTGCCAGTCCGGCTTGATGGAAACCGTGGCTCTTGTGTATAATATTTATTGTGAGTAGGTTTGCTTGTCTGCTTTCACATTTCCAGTGACTCTTTGGTGGTGATAGCAGATTAAAAGGCAGAACAGTGATGCTCTAATGCAAACACGGAGGAGGCTGGATAAAGTAGGATGCCAGGATTAGTGAAAATTGTATGAGGTTTGCAATTATCTCATGAGCCTCATTTCTAGCACCAGGATGCTGTACTAAAGGGCATGTTTAAGGGGTCGTGCATTGATGCTATCCTCTAAAAGCCATGAAGAGTTTACAGGCATAAGTGATGATCCTTTGCCCCTCTCCCTTCTTCTTTTGTTCTGTCTCGCCTACTCTCTTCTTTCCTTCCTTCTCTTCACCCCACTCTCTTCTCCAATGGGTACTAGAAACATAAGCAGGGTCCTTTGGAGAGCCACTTGAGCCAATGCACAATGGCCACTAGTAGCACTTTTATCTAAGTTGCAACAGTTATATCCAAATGGTTCCTTGCTCAACTGGGGCCTGATTCAAAAACTCATTGAAGTCAATGGGAATTTTTCCATTCATTCAAGACCCTCATCTACTCCCAATGAGAATCTTGAGTCAGAACGGCTCACTATACCAGTTCAAACTACTTTTCACTCCTCATACCTCTGCAGGACCAATCCAATGAAAGGAGAGGGAGTTGGAGTTTAGTCCGGCTGGTGCATTGTCAAATGATCTTTCACAAAGGGTACATTTACACTGCATCGCTATTTTGGGATACCGGAGTAATCCAAAATAGCTATCCCATGTCTACACAGTAAGCCCGTTATTTTGGGCTCACTATTCCGATGTCCCTGTAAACCTCATTCTATGAGGAGTAAGGATGTTTTGGAATAGCACTTTATTTTGAAATTTGATGAAATAAGCTATTTTGAAATAGCATCAAAATAAGATATGCAATTTGCGTAGCTCAAATTGCGTACCTTATTTCGAGTTACAGAGCTGTGTAAATACACCCAAAGTTCCAATAACAGAATATTGAAAAATGGGGATAAAAGACCTAAATTCAACCCAGCTTCACTTTCAGAACCCAGAGCACATTGCAGGGCTGGCAGTTAGGGAAAAAACAACATCTTTCTACTTGTGATTTGAGGAGATTGGTTCTGGAGTCACTGAAAGATGATAGACATGTACATTTGTGATGCTCTTTGTACAGAAGATCTTTGCATAACAGAATCGCTTTTTTAAATGTAATCAGGTCGTTGGATCACTGCTGAAATAAACTGGTGCAGCATGTCTGTTGAACAAAGTTTCAAACCAGAAAGACATTAAACTAGTGCTCTGGAATCTCTACTGTCTGCCTGTGAGTTTCCAGATACAATTTAAGAGTTGGTTTTGAGTAGCTTGAAAATTTTACATCAAAACATTTTTTCAATAACTAACAGTTCTTAAATCAAATAGGAATTTCCACAACTAAGAATTTTCACTGAAAACTTTTGGATTTTCATCTAAAAACTGAAAACAGAAAAATACTATTGTCACTAAAAACTGAAAAATCCAACTACAAATGAAAGTTGTCAGTTTTGTTTTCTGAAAAATATTTTTTTCTCCAGACTTTGATTTGGTCAAATCCTGAATATTTTAAAAGAACAATTTTCATGAACATGAAAAAAAAATCTTACGGGTAGACTGGGAAGGAGCCAGTGGCCGTGATACAAGTAGGTACCAATAACATAGGGAATGGTGGGAGAGAGGTTCTGGACACCTAATGTAGGCTGCTAGGTAAGACCTGAAGTCCACGACCTCCCTGGGAGCATCTTCTGAAATGCTTCCAGTTCTACACACTGGGCCAGTTTGCCAAGCAGAACTGTAAGATCCTAAACTGTGGATGAGACAATGATATATGAAGAAGGGTTTAATTTATTAGGAACTGGGGACTCTGCTGGGAGCCAGGGGTGTAAAGGCCAAGACAGTAATAGGATTCAAAAAATAATTAAATTTATGGAGTCTAGGTGCATCGATGGCTGTTATCCAGGATGGGCAGGATGATGTTCTGAGCCTCTGTTTGCCAGAAGCTGGGAATGGGGAACAGAAACTGGGACTGGGGAACACCTTATCTGGTTGGTCTTTCTGAAGCATCTTGCGCTACCTGGTCCAGTAGGTCCCTCTGAAGTGTCAGGCGCTACCTTGTCCGTCCCTCTGAAGTACCTTATCTGGTCGGTTTCTCTGAAGCATCTGGCACTACCTGGTCCGGTTGGTCCCTTGGAGGCGCCTGGCGCTGCCTGGTCCGGTGGGTCCCTTGGAGGCGCCTGGCGCTAGCTGGTCCGGTTGGTCCCTTGGAGGCGCCTGGCGCTGCCTGGTCCGGTGGGTCCCTTGGAGGCGCCTGGCGCTAGCTGGTCCGGTTGGTCCCTTGGAGGCGCCTGGCGCTGCCTGGTCCGGTGGGTCCCTTGGAGGCGCCTGGCGCTAGCTGGTCCGGTTGGTCCCTTGGAGGCGCCTGGCGCTGCCTGGTCCGGTGGGTCCCCCCGGGGGGGCCTGGCGCTGCCTGGTCCGGGGGGTCCCCTGGAGGCGCCTGGCGCTGCCTGGTCCGGGGGGTCCCCTGGAGGCGCCTGGCGCTGCCTGGTCCGGGGGGTCCCCTGGAGGCGCCTGGCGCTGCCTGGTCCGGGGGGTCCCCTGGAGGCGCCTGGCGCTGCCTGGTCCGGGGGGTCCCCTGGAGGCGCCTGGCGCTGCCTGGTCCGGGGGGTCCCCTGGAGGCGCCTGGCGCTGCCTGGTCCGGGGGGTCCCCTGGAGGCGCCTGGCGCTGCCTGGTCCGGGGGGTCCCCTGGAGGCGCCTGGCGCTGCCTGGTCCGGGGGGTCCCCTGGAGGCGCCTGGCGCTGCCTGGTCCGGGGGGTCCCCTGGAGGCGCCTGGCGCTGCCTGGTCCGGGGGGTCCCCTGGAGGCGCCTGGCGCTGCCTGGTCCGGGGGGTCCCCTGGAGGCGCCTGGCGCTGCCTGGTCCGGGGGGTCCCCTGGAGGCGCCTGGCGCTGCCTGGTCCGGGGGGTCCCCTGGAGGCGCCTGGCGCTGCCTGGTCCGGGGGGTCCCCTGGAGGCGCCTGGCGCTGCCTGGTCCGGGGGGTCCCCTGGAGGCGCCTGGCGCTGCCTGGTCCGGGGGGTCCCCTGGAGGCGCCTGGCGCTGCCTGGTCCGGGGGGTCCCCTGGAGGCGCCTGGCGCTGCCTGGTCCGGGGGGTCCCCTGGAGGCGCCTGGCGCTGCCTGGTCCGGGGGGTCCCCTGGAGGCGCCTGGCGCTGCCTGGTCCGGGGGGTCCCCTGGAGGCGCCTGGCGCTGCCTGGTCCGGGGGGTCCCCTGGAGGCGCCTGGCGCTGCCTGGTCCGGGGGGTCCCCTGGAGGCGCCTGGCGCTGCCTGGTCCGGGGGGTCCCCTGGAGGCGCCTGGCGCTGCCTGGTCCGGGGGGTCCCCTGGAGGCGCCTGGCGCTGCCTGGTCCGGGGGGTCCCCTGGAGGCGCCTGGCGCTGCCTGGTCCGGGGGGTCCCCTGGAGGCGCCTGGCGCTGCCTGGTCCGGGGGGTCCCCTGGAGGCGCCTGGCGCTGCCTGGTCCGGGGGGTCCCCTGGAGGCGCCTGGCGCTGCCTGGTCCGGGGGGTCCCCTGGAGGCGCCTGGCGCTGCCTGGTCCGGGGGGTCCCCTGGAGGCGCCTGGCGCTGCCTGGTCCGGGGGGTCCCCTGGAGGCGCCTGGCGCTGCCTGGTCCGGGGGGTCCCCTGGAGGCGCCTGGCGCTGCCTGGTCCGGGGGGTCCCCTGGAGGCGCCTGGCGCTGCCTGGTCCGGGGGGTCCCCTGGAGGCGCCTGGCGCTGCCTGGTCCGGGGGGTCCCCTGGAGGCGCCTGGCGCTGCCTGGTCCGGGGGGTCCCCTGGAGGCGCCTGGCGCTGCCTGGTCCGGGGGGTCCCCTGGAGGCGCCTGGCGCTGCCTGGTCCGGGGGGTCCCCTGGAGGCGCCTGGCGCTGCCTGGTCCGGGGGGTCCCCTGGAGGCGCCTGGCGCTGCCTGGTCCGGGGGGTCCCCTGGAGGCGCCTGGCGCTGCCTGGTCCGGGGGGTCCCCTGGAGGCGCCTGGCGCTGCCTGGTCCGGGGGGTCCCCTGGAGGCGCCTGGCGCTGCCTGGTCCGGGGGGTCCCCTGGAGGCGCCTGGCGCTGCCTGGTCCGGGGGGTCCCCTGGAGGCGCCTGGCGCTGCCTGGTCCGGGGGGTCCCCTGGAGGCGCCTGGCGCTGCCTGGTCCGGGTGGGCACTCCCCAGTAGGTGCCACTTTGCCCTGGGGACCACAGCGGGAGGGGAGGGGGGGCTTCCAAGCAACCTGAGGGCTTGCTGGGCAGGAGGGCTGCTCCCCCCTGCTCTGACCCGGGCACAGTGTCTGTGGCTTTGGACTCAAGCTGCTTCTAAGAACATCTATGTTTCTGCTAGTCCTAGTCCTAGAGGGTGCCAGGAATGTGCAGCCTCTGCAGGCAGGCTGGACAGTAGAGCCTATTCACACCAGGGCACAGGCCCCTATTGTTCAGGGGGGCCTGCATGAATCTTGGTAGCTTAATTGCAAAAACATTTGCTGATGCAGTTCAGGAATGAATTGGGACTTACTTGTCTGGCTATGAATAAAGGCAGGAATGGGGCGAGGGAGGGACAGCCAGTGTGCCTGGTGCCTTGCCTCACCGCCCACCCCATCCCACTACACAACCCCTGTTGCTCTCTGTGGACAAAGCCCTGGCCGGGTTGATTTAGTTGGAACTGGTCCTGCCTAGAGCAGGGGGCTGGACTTGATGACCTTCTGAGGTCTCTTCCAGTTCTATGATTCTATGACAGCGCACTGCAGAAGGCGAAATCAGTATTTGTGGAAGAGAGTGGGTGTGGAATGCTTACTACAGGTTAGCAGGCCCTGAGCCTGAATAGACTTAAACATACTGGCACTTAACTTGATGTGCTGCCCACAACCCTTCACACTCAATGGAATTCCTCACAGGGCATCAAAGTAAGGAAATGCATAAATCTTGGCATGCCTGTGACCTTACCACCCCAGAGAAAGGGGCCAGCTGATTAGGGATGTTAAAAAGCATTTAGTACGGTAATCATGTAGCCACTAAAAATGTGGTTACATGCACTGTGGGCTCTGCAGTATAAAGCTTAGCTTTATACTGTGGAGCCTGCAGCGAAGCGGGCAACCCTTGCCCACCCGGCTCCCGGGGAGGAGGCTTCGCTGTTCTACCGCTGCAAAGCCACCTCCCTGGCAGTCAGCTGAGCTCAACCGATACCATTAACGAATAAGCTGAGTTTAAATGGTTAATCGGTTAAACTCTAGCATCCATACAGCTGGTTCTGCGACTTTCAGGACACGTTTGATGTCAGTATAAAAGTATTTCCGCAAAAGAGCGTCTAGATTGGCACGGGTGCTTTTGCGCAAAAGCATCCATGCCAATCTAGACGCGCTTTTGCGCAAGAAAGCTCCGATGGCCATTTTAGCCATCGGACTTTCTTGTGCAAAAAATTAAGGTGCCTGTCTACACTGGCCCTCTTGCGCAAGTATTCTTGCGCAAGAGGTCTTATCCCTGAGCGGGAGCGTCAAAGTATTTGCGCAAGAAGCACTGAATTCTTACATTAGAACGTCAGTGCTCTTGCGCAAATTCAAGCAGCCAGTGTAGACAGCTGGCAAGTGTAGACAGCTGGCAGCCGCTTTTGCGCAAAATCTTGCCAGTCTAGACGCACCCAATAGGTAATAGAGCACACTAAATGGATAATTACCCCCGGTGGAGTTGGGAGCCGTATTGCCGTGATGCAGCCACAGGTTTCTGATGGCCAACCTTTTGTCTGTGTCTGGAGACCCTGACCCACTTGACCCAGAACCACAGTTCCCCTCTTACATCTGAAAAGTTACAAGACATATCAGTCAAGAAATCATTAGGTGGGTGACCAAACAATATCGGCCAGTAGGCAAAAAGTAGGTGTTACAATATTATATTACAAATATTAATTATTTCCTATGTCCCTACAACAGCAGTCCTGAAATATATTCCGATTTCCTGTTTTTCATAGCTGCTTAGCCCGGCATATCAGAGAGGATGCAGAGTCCAGTCTATTTTTTGTGATAGCTAATGCCACCCGCACTTCTATACACACACACTTGCCTTAGTTATGCTAAGAGCCTCAGAGGTTTACTAAAGGGCTAAATGCAACAAGTAGAATAATTTATAGTCCATTCAAATAATTGACAGTGGCTTGGGCATGAGGTTGGTTGCTAAAATGCCCTTCCATAAATGTGCCGAGGCCCCAAGCTGCAAATCTCCTGGTTTGGAGCATTCAGATACTCGCAGCCATGTTCAGATGATGTCTACGCAACAATGGCACAGCGACTGCACTGCAGCTGTGCCCTGGAACACCCTAGTATATCTGTTCTATACATGAGTGGAAGGGGGTTTTCCTTGGATGTAGCTAATACTACCTCTCAGAAAGGTGGAACTACTGAGAGGAAGAATCCCTCTGTCAGCACAGTTGCATCTACATTGGAGGTTAGGTCGACTTAACTTCGGTGCTCCAGGCATGACATTTGTCACAGGCCTGAGAGATGTTTTTCTAATTTTTAGGTGTAGACCAAGGCTTAGACTGTAATCTTTTTGGGGCAGGGACTGCCTCTTACTGTGTACCTACAACACTTAGCACAGAGGATCCTCAATCTTGATTGTGGCCTGCAAGTGCTACCATCATCCAAATAAATAATGACACTGTTATGGGCACTGCAGAGAATCTGAAGACCCTGTCTACATAAGGGAAATATACATGAACACAGCTACCCCAGTGGAGTAAGTTGTGTAGGTGTAAGCCCTGTTTAACTTCAGTGCAATATAGCTACATCAGATTTGCTACACTAATATAAACTTTTCTAATATAAGATAAGGTGATATCTTAATGGACCAACTTTTGTTGGTAGAAGAGACAAGCTTTCGAGCTGCACAGTGGTTTTTGCTAAGTCTGCTTGCTCATATCCTGGGATCAATGTGCCTATAATAGTGCAAACTGCTAATATGGACATGCCTCTAGTTGGATTTTGAACATTCCTTGATTTATATCCACCCTTTCTGAGGTGAGTTGTGAAATCCAAGTCAGGATTTTGAATGACTAACCTGAACTCTCTGAAAATTTGGAGGCATTTTGACCCAGAAATTGGATTTGTACTGATGCTTCAATTTATTCTGATTCGAGTTAAGTTTGTTGCTTCACTAATGCTGTTTATATTTTAAAACTATATGGTAAAAGTCTCCTGATTTTTGTTTAAATATACAGTCCACCTGTCCCTGAGGCAAACAAGTGCTCAGAGTCAGCTGTTGGTGCCAAAAATGGCTTCTTGGAGGCAGTGTTTTTAGCTCTAGTGCTAAACTGGTGTGT